GGGGGCCCTAGATCCTGGGAGAGGAAGGGGCTCCTGGAAGGAAGGAGCTGCCAGACCCTGGAGTTAGTCCCAGGACAAGGTCTCAGGTGTCTGCCCTGCAGGCGTGTGAGATGATAAACTGTGTGGGTGACGCTGCTCAGGGTGTGGTGACGTGTGTCAGCAGCAGCTGGAGCTCTCATGACCCATGTGGGGGCCCAGGCAGGTGAGCAGGACCCTGGCAGGGGAGGGTCTGGAGGGAGCACCAGGGCCCCAGGATGCACGTGGAGAGATGAGGGCCCAGAAATGTCCTATGCGCTGGAGGGAGATGGAGGGAAAGGGAGGATCCTGGAGAGCAGGCAGGAAGGGAAGGACGGGTGAGGAGAGAAGGACGAGGACTTGGGACCGGTGGAAGGAACCAGAAGTTTTATCAATTTTCTGACCAGAGACAGACCCAGACCCTGACTCTGCTGAAGAGGGAGGGTCACCCACAAGCCCTAACAACCAGAGAGATGTGCCCTGCCCACCTCAGCATGTGCCTCACAGGATTTCTGGAACCTTCCAGAGATCAGCAATTCCTGATACACAGAGCTATTGACCCTGCATAGCCTCTCCTCACACTGATAGCCCCACTGTCCTAACACATATAAAGGATCAGGTGACAAGGGTCAGAGAGTGTCTTGACCCCACATGACCTTCAGGGAGGACAGGGCAAGTGGAGACAGGTCTGTGCTAACAAGGCAGGGGGCCCTGCTATTTCCAGAGAGAAGCTACAGAATGCGAGGAGACCAGGGACACTACCCCTTCCTGGTGGGGGTCCCTGATAGAGAAGAGGTAGAGGGAGGTAGGGAGAGGGTCCCAGGACCCTCAGGACCACTCACCTGCGTACAGCTGGGCCTTCTTCCAGGCTGGAAGGGAACACACAGGTGAGACCTCAGCACAACCACCTGCACAGGTGAATCCAGGGGCCCTGGTCTCCCCCTGTTCTGCAGGTGAGACTCTCTGGGGGTGGAGGGGAGAGGCTGAGAGGTCATGACCTCCTGCCCTGTGCAGACAGCAGGGGGTGGTGGGAAATCCCTGGCTCAGGTCAGGAGCCTGCAGGACAGACTGACCCAGCCCTGCCTGCTGCTGCTGTGGGGCTTTGGGCAAGTCACTGAGCAGCTCTGGGCTTTACAAACTTCAAAACTCCTGTTTCATGTACTACTCAGTGTTGCTGCACAGGATGAAAAACAGTAAACATGAAGATTTTTTCACTGTATATATTAGTACATAATTATTATATTCAGTATTTTCTGGCAATTGTATTTGGGAAATTAACAAGAAGATAAAGTAAAAACAAAGCCTGTCCATCAGACCAGCTCCAGGGTAAAGTGGCTCATCTCTCTCAGATTAAATATTTCTAGATATAAACACACTCTGGGAGATGGAATGTCCCCCACCCCCTCCCATGCAGGATCACCCCATCCTCTCCCATCACTACTGATCAGCATCTTCAGGAGCAGAGAGAACAGACTATCCTTGGGTGGGGTTTGGGGAGAGAATACTGGAGGAGATCACTCTCCTAAACTTAAAGAACCCATTTACTTATAAAACCCCAATGCAGCTAGCTTCTGCTTCTAGGTGCTGACCAAGAACAAGAGGCACTGAAGGCTAGAAAGCCAGCAACTTGGTGGGAAAGTCAGGGCTGGAGTGAGACCAGGATGCAGGAGACACTAGTGAGATCCCAATAGGATCCCAACCTATGGAAGAACTGCACCCAGATCTGGGAAAGCCCGGGAGCAGGGTGCTGCTTCCCTCCAGTTCCCACTTCCACCCCAGGGAAGGGGCCACATGTCTGTGCTTAGAGAGACAAGGGGAGGGTCCCTGAGGCACAGGGGGGACAGGGAACCAGGACACCTACAGCATCACTCACCAGCCAGGTAAGCTGCCTTCCTCTGGTCTGAAAGACAACACAGGACACAGGTGAGCTAAGAACCAGAATGTCTCCTATGAAGGGGACACAGAGTTCAGGAGGGAGAGCAGAGCTTACCTAGAATTGCCTGGAGTTCATCTGAAAGAGAACGAAAAAATGAAACATTAAGTCTATCACTAAAGGAGAACATCTGCGTGCCTTAAAAACCTGTGAAAATGAACCTCTCTGTGATCTAGAAGTTCCACTTCGAAACCTATCTGAGCCTTCAACCTCCCCACCCCCAACTGTCTTCTGTGGGTTTTCTCAGGTACCTGCTCTGATCTTCCTGCAGAGTGGATCCTGGGCTCTGGCTCTGTGGTCAGCTTGTCCCTCCTAGCACCCACTGCCACACTCAACAGCCTGGACCAGTCCCGTATTACCTCTGTGCTTCAGGGCCTCCTCCTTGGTCTGTCTGTCCTTCTCCTTAGCCCGGCACAGACTCCTCTGTTCCTGCAGCTCCCACATCTGTGTGGAATGTTCTCTCTGGGTGTAGCAGGCAGCCCCCAGGAGCAGGAGCAACAGAAAGGAGAGGCTCACCAGGAAAGCTGGCTTCCAGGGAGAGGCCCTGGGGAAAAAGGGCTCTGCAGACAGACACCCGCACAGAGACCCCATCAGGACATAGCCCAGGACAGCCCAGCCCAGCACACCTGGGGGTGCCAGCCCCTCCCTCTGACCCTGCAGGGAGTGGGACGGGGGAGCAGCGCTGACCTGGGATGACAATGGCCATGGCCTTCTCCTGGCTCAGGACAGGGTTGAGGATGGAGCAGGTCACGCTCCCCGCAGAGCTGTCTCTCACCACCAGAGGGCCTCCACGCTGAACAGCCCCTCAGTGTCCTGGGCCTGGACCTTGGAGAACTCCAGGAACTGCTCCCCACGGGGGTCTCTCCACTGCACCTGGGGCTCCGGGAACCAGCCCGAGGCCGTGCACACCACACGCACCTCGTACTCCTCTGGCCCCGAAATGTGCACTTGGGGGCAGAGCCCACACCTGCAGAGGGAAGATGAGAGCCAGGTGGGTTAGACCTCCAGTGGAGGCTGTCAAGGTGCATTCTGGGGGCCTGGGGGAGTAAGACGATGACCTGACATGTTTTCATCTCCACCCTTCTACCTATTATTTTTATAATCATATAAACATGTTCAAATCTTTCTAGAATTATTTTCTTGTTAGAAGTACACCTTAGAATCCATGAACAGCTGTATTTTCTCATTTCTCACCAACGTCTCTGCCTCCATCCGGGAGCTTCTTCTAGTCCATTCTGTTCTGGGCGTTTCAACAAAAGCCTCCCATTTGTCAAGCCCAGTCTCCAAGGTCCTCTCACTCAGTCTCCCTTCATTCAGGACACTCCTGGCCTCATCTTGAAACCACCTCCATCTTGGGTTGGTCACTTCCCTCTGAGGGTGGCTTGTTGTTACTTGGACCCCCTGCTGAGTCCCTTTCCTGACTTATCTCCCTGCACCTGCTCCTTGAAGGCAGCGCAGTCCTAGGGTCCAGTCCTTAAAGACCTATCTTATCTCACACCCTCCCCCAGGGATTCTTCCCCCTCAGCTCCTGTGTCTCCTCATACATCACTTCCAGATATCACCTCACCAGTCTCCCCATGTCCCTCCCTGATAGCATATCCCTGTGGTTACATCTACCAGGATTCCTCACATGCTCTTTACACTCAAAATTCCACATCTGGAAGCATGTTTTTGTCTCATCTGTGGTAAGTCAGTTATAGAAATATTCCTAATTCTTCCTATCTATCTCATACTCTGCCTTGTACATGTTAGTCCCCTCACACTCTGACCCTGGATTCAGTCATGTGACTTCATGTGTCTAATGAGAGATCAGCTCATGTGACTCAGCAGAGGTTTAAAGTGCTGGCCCCATGGGTCTTCCCTCTGCCATCTCCATGGAAGGACATCGCAGTCCAGGTGCTGGAGGATCAGCTCATGGAGCAGGGCCTGTCACCAGGCTTTCCTCCTGAGGCTGTCCTCCCTCAGGCAGGAGCCAGTGGACAATGCTCCGTGGACTCCATTGTCCTTTCTTCTTCTGGTCCAAAGACACTTATGGAACCTTGTTTGATAAAATGAAGTCCCACCTCAAGTCTACTTCCTATGGAGAATTTTATGATTACCTTTGGTAGCATTAATTAAGCATTCTCAACCTGCATACTGTGTACCCATGACATCTTTTTGTAAAAGTATTGTTATCTCTTAACACCTGCCTTCTTACACCCTCCCACCAGCCCTGAGGACTCCATGTGAGCCAAGAATACACCAAACACACGCTCACCCCAGGACAGTCACACTGGCTGCTCCCTCCTCTTATAAGTTGCCTTCCCTGTGATTTACTACATGATGACTGTAGCTAACACTGCTGTGTGATATGTAGGAAAATTATTAAGGGAGTAAGTCCTAAGAGGTTTTTCATAAGAGAAAATATTTCCTCTTTGGCTTCTTTTTCTTTCTATTGCACCTAAATTAGAAAATGGATGTTAGCTAGACTACTGGGCATCATTTCATTGACATATGTGAATGAAATCATCATGCTCTATGCCTTACACTTACACAATGATGTATATTAATTGTTTCTCAGTAGAACTGGGGAAATAGAACTCACATACCACAGATATCTACTTAGTTTAATCCCCATTTTCCTTTCAGTCTTTGCTCAGATACAAAATGATGAGTCTTTGCTCAAATATGACCCTCCTGAGCTCCCATTTATTAATGTAACTTGCCCAGACCCACATTGCTGACCATTTTCACTGGTCATTTAGCTTCTTATTCTCATCATTTAACACTTAATAACATCATTTATGACATGTTTATTTATTATGATTGCTCTATCTACCATTGAAAATATCTACCATTGCTCTATCTACCAGAGTGAAAAACTTCATTTGGTTCACTGCTTAAAACAGGACCAGACATATAGTGGGTACCTTATATATTTACAGTTAATGCAACCATGAATTAATAAGCCTTTTCTTTCTCATGTATGAAGTGAGACAGTAAATTACATTGCACTAGTTTCTCCCAAACTCAAAAACCCCAGGACTCTGAGATATTTAACCATGTCACCAACCTGCCACCTGCAGCTCCAATCTGGCTTGCCCAACAAAGACTCCATTGCTGAAGAAGCAGGTGTACAGCCCATTGTCAGCAGCCTGGACCTTGTGGATGCGCACAGCAGCCTCCCCCTCTTTTAGATATTCCCCCATCAGCGAGGTCCGCCCTGCGTACTGGGCCATCAGCTCCTCATTCTGCTCCTGTCCATCTTGATAGGTGAACACTGACTCCGAGAAATGTGACCAGAACCACCTCACCTCCATGTTCTCTGCACTCATGACTGGGTCCAGGGAGCAGGACAGTGTGATGTCCTTACCCAGCTCTGCCACAATGGGCTTTGAGGGGCCAAACACACGGAACTTCTCTGTGAACACAGACATAGGGATTAGAAGCTTGGGAGACACACCCACCCACAGCAGGGAACACACACTATCACTGGGTAAGGCCCAGGCAGCTTGAGGGAAGGTGTCTATGAGAAGACAGCTGATGTGAAGGATTGAACAGTGAAAATCTGTATCTGGGAACAATCTTCCAACCATAATTTGTGGTTCAGAAATAATGTCACTGGTGTACCCAACAGCAGGAACTTCCATGAAGAAATCTAACTCCCTGGTTTTCATCTTCAGCATGTATCTGAATCACTAGGAGGATTTGTAAACATAGAATGCCTTACCCCAGGTCTGATGTAGTACCCAAGAATGTGCATTTCAAACGAGTTCCTGGGGAACTAAGATGGTATCAGAGGACATTCGTTGCTTCATTCCCCAGAGGATCATCTAGGTTAACCAGTGGAATGGGGCACCCAGAGAATACCATGGCTTGCAACAAAACTGGAACACCTCTTGGACATCAGTCACCAGGCAGGCAGCACCAAAAGGGACACAGAGGAGATTCATGCTTCACTGAACAAGAGGTAGGTGGAGAGAGACACCTGGAGCCTGTGGTCAGCGATGGGAGCTGCCACTCAACCAGCCACTTGACTAGTGGCCATGTAGAGGGAGAACTGAATGGTGTGGAGGCACACATCCTTCCCTGAGGGGAAATACATGCAGAGGAGCTGGGTGCTCCCAGCAGACCAGGTTCTAGTGAAAAGAGTAAGGACACAGAGCTGGCGTGCACTACTCTCTCCCACCCCTCAGGACAGTATTGACCTCTTGAAGCACACTGGCAGTGTGTAAGTGGCAGAGTCTCAGGTACGGAAATGAAAGAGGTGGGTATCAGTGGTGCCTCAAACATGAGCTAGCATGCCCCCTGCCAGAGCATGCACACCAGAGGTTAGATGACTGCAGGCCTCACCCACACCCTCTGACTGAGCATCTCAAAGATCAGGACTCCAGACCTGATAAGGCAAAATCTAAAATCACATAAAACTACAGTGCCACCTGTTGGAAAGGTAGAAGTAGTTCAAATCTCTAAGTTACTACTACAACACATTTTTAAAAATTAGGAAATCTAAAGCAGCAAATCAGACACCGAAAAGCATTCCACATGGCAACTTGAGAACTTCAGGGAATATGAAATCACAAGAAAAGAACAACACACCAATATATAATTACAAAGATATGGAAAATCTTATCTTCCCATCAGGTGGAGAGTTCAAAATTGCCACAATAAAGAAAGTCAAAGGGATGGTAGAAAACTCAGAAAAGTGAATCAAAGAGATACAACAAAAATCATAATAATAGGGCCTCCCTGGTGATGTAAGGAGTTAAGCACAGCACTATGAAGCTATCAGAAGCCTCTACAGCCCACTGGCCAGGGAGACCATCTGCTATGCACATGGCACAGCAGACCTTTCCTGTCTTGCCCGCTGCTCCCCTCAGCAATGTATTTCAGTTAATCCACCTGTTCTGTTTCCCACTCTGTCTCAGATAAATCCTCTCACCCCCCACACCTCTGGCCTGTACCCCAGTTCTTGTATGCACGTGTAAATAAATCTTTTTTAAAAATCATAATAATAAATTAATGGTAGGGAAAATAAAATTAGAGAACAGAAAATAGAAATTTATATCTTAAATAATAAAATAACAGAGATATATAGTATTAAAAGATCAACAGAAAATATTTAAGCTATTGAACAAGAAAAGACCAAATGGAAGATTGACTCAGTGACTTCAAAGACAATCATGCACAAAGGACCTAATTGAAAGAAGAAAGAGAAAAATGAAGGGGAAAAAATGACAAAACACTTCAAGAACTACCAACTTCATTGGAAATGTTGTTGGATAATGGATAAAGATAAATATATTACATAAGGGGAACAGAAAGGGAAGGAAACAGAGAACTATTTAAAGAAGTAGAGGAAATTTCCCAACCTGGGGAAGGAAATGAATATACAAGTCCATGAAGCTAAAGGAACAGCTTGTTAAATAAATGTAATGAGACCTACACCAAGACACAGTCATGGAACTACCAAGAGTTCAAGATAAATAAAGAATATTGAGGTGGCTGGAGGGGGACGGGGGAAGCAGGTAACCTACAAAAGTATACAGCAGATTTCTGTGAGGAAACCCTACAAACAAGGAGAGAATGGAATCACATATTCAAAATAATGTAATATAAAAATTCCCAGCCAAGAATACTATGTCCTTTAACACTGTCCTGCAAATATGAGGGAAAAATAAACACCTTCCAAAACTGAAGATGATGGAGTTTGTGAACACTAGACCTCCCCTACAAGAAATGTTGAAAATAGCACTCCTATCTAAGAAACACAGAGGAAAAAAAAGAAGAGAAAATGAGCCTTCTATAAGCAAAAACTAAAGACAAAAGCACAGCAGTAAATCTTCATGTATCAATAATCACCCTATATGTAAATGGACTGAACTCACCAATAAAAAGGCACAGAGAGGCTATTGGATCAGTGAAGAAAATCCAACTTTCTGCAGCAGACACATCAAAGCTCCAAAGATAAACAATCATAAGCTCAAAAAATGTGGTTGGAAAACAACACTACAAGGAAATGGGGCCCACAAAAAAAGCAGGTAGAGCCATATCAGATAAAATAGACTTCCAGCTAAAAGAGGTATTAAGAGAAATGGATGATAAGGGAATCATACATCAGGAAGACAGAACACTCATCAGTATGCATGGACCAAACAAAGGAACATCAAAATGTATAAGGCAACTATTAACAAATCTGCAAACCAATAGTGGTAGCAACACATAAGTGGTAAAGGAATTAAACACCCACTTTCATCAATGGACACATCCACCTGACAGAAAATCAACAAAGAAACAGTAGACTTAAGTGAGGAATTGGATCACATGGGCCTAATAGATATTCATAGGGAACTACCATCCAGAAAAGCAGAGTACACCTTCTTCTCAAGTGCACATGTAACAGTCTCCAGAATACACCACATGTTGAGTCACAAAACAAGTGCTAATAAATACAAGGAGATTAATATCACATTAGTATCTCTCTGATCACAATAGTATCAAAGTACAGACCAGCAATAATAAAAAATCAGAAAATAGCTCATATATTGTGGAGTCTGAACAACACACAACTGAATGACTACAGGGTTAAGGCAGAAATTTAAAAATACATCAAGACAACTGACAATGAGAACACAACCTATCTGTGGGACACAGCAAGAGCAGTACTAAGAGGGAATATGTAGCAATACAGGACCACATCAAGAATCAAGAAAGAGCTCATATAAATAATCTAACCTAGGGCTTCCCTGGTAGTGCAGGGGTTGAGACACAACCTATGAAGCTATCCGCAGTCACTGTAGCATAAGTTTGATCATGGCCAGGGAGCTACCTACATGGCGCAGCAGACCTCTCCTGACACTCTTGCTGCTCCCCTTAGCAGTGTATTTCAGTCAGTCTGCCTGTTATGTTCCCCACTCTGTCTCTGGTGAATCCTCTCACCCCCCACACCTCTGGCCTGTACCCCCGTTCTTGTATGAATAAATAAATAAATATTTTATAAAAAATAACAAATAACTAAATAATCTAACCTTATACCTCAAGGAACTAGAAAACAACAACAAATGAAGTCAAAAGTAGGAAGTAAATAATTTTAAAAATCAAGCAGAAACAGAAATGATAGACAGTCCAAAAGATAAATGAAACCAAATGTTGGTCCTTAAAAAATAAACAAAATATATAAACCTTCTGCTAGGATTACAAGGGGAAAAAAAAGAAAAATTCTAATAGAATCAGATAAGAAAGAGGAATAGTTACAACAGACATTTCAGGAATACAGAGAATCATAAGAGACTACTAAACATCTATATGTCAATAAATTGAATAATCTAGAAGAAATGGAAAAATTCTTCAAGACTGAGTCAGGAAGAAATAGAAAACCTGAACAAACCAATTACAAGCAAGGACATTTAAACAGTTCTCCAAATTTCCCAAAACATAAAGCCCAACACCAGGCATTTTCACTAGTGAGTTCTACCAAACCTTCAAAGATGAACTAATACCTGTCCTTCTCAACTTGTCACAAAAATGGAAGAAGAGGGAGTGCTTCCCAACACATTTTATGAGGCCAACATTGCCTTAACACCAAAAGCAGAGAACAACATCAAAAAAAGAAAACTACAGGCCAATAACTCTGATAAAACACATGCAAAATCCTCAACAAAACCTATCAAACTTCAATAATACATTAAAAGGATCACACATTATGACCAAGTGGGATTTATCCCAGGAACACAGTATGGTTCCACATTTGAAAATCAAGCAATGAGATTTTGGCTGAAACCAGTAAGAATGGCTATTATCAAAAAGTCAAGAAATCATTAATTTTGGTGAGGATTAGGGGATAAAATGACATTTGTGTACTATGAGTGGGAATATAATTAGTGCAGCCATGTTGGAAAACAATATAGCAGTTTCTCAAAAATTAAAAATAGAATTACATCTGATCCAGAAATTCCACTTCTGTGTATTTACCTGAAGAATATGAATGCAATTATTCAAAAAGAGAAATGCACCCTATTTTCATTCTAACACTCACAAGAGCCAAAATATTGAAACAACCCAAGTATTGGAAACAAATGAATTCATATATACATATATATAATTTATATATATTTTTATACATTATATTTATATATGTAATGGAATAATACACATTAAAAAAGATGAAATCTTGACATTTAAAACACTATGGTAAAATTTTAAGTAATTATACTAAGTCAGATGGAGAAAGACAAATACCATGTGATTGCACTCATTTTGGAATGTGAAAAAAAACAAAAGCAACCAACAAACAATAAAAACAAACCTTTATACACTATCAACAATGTGGCAGATACCAAAGAGGAAGGAGGGTGAGAGAATAGCTTAGTGCAAGATTGTGACTAGAATTTTGGTAGTGGGTGTGTGTGAAATATACAATTCATGGGTGAGAAACTATACACCTAAAATCTATACAGTGTGTAAATTAATGTTCCCTCATTTAGAAAAAAAAAAGTTTCCCAATCTGTCCCCCAGTCAGAGCCCTTGGCCTGAGGAGGTCTGGGAAGGACAGGTCAGGTGTAGATGTTGGGATGGGAGCCAAGCTCTGGGGAGGGGTGTTGTGGGTGAGGGTCACATGGAGGGAACAGACTGTGGGGAGCTGGCTGGTGCAAGGACAGAGGGGGTGAGGATCAGCTGGAGCAGAGGGAGAGGGAGGGACACAGGAGTGGGTGACAGAGGAAAAAGGAGTCAAAAGGAAAGAATGGGGACTGTGCTGTCCTCAAGAGCCCCCTGACTTCCAAAGAGCCACTTCTCACCTGTGCTGCCCCAGCTTGGCCTGAGCCCCTCCTCTCTCACCTGGAGACACACAGACTAGTCTCTCCTGCCACCCCCAGTCTGGGCCCCTTTCACCTGGGAGCTGAACCAGGTCCTGCTCTGCTCACAGCCTGGCAGGGGCTCCCCAGCCCCACAGTCACCCCCAGCCCCACAGGGTGACCCTTCCCAGGCCTCTGACACCCAGTCCTGTGTCCCTCCCTCTCCCTCTGCTCCAGCTGATCCTCACCCCCTCTGTCCTTGCACCAGCCAGCTCCACACAGGCTGTTCCCTCCATGGGACTCTCACCCCCAACATCCCCTGCCCAGGACTTGGCTCCCATCCCACTATCTACACTGACCCCCTTGATGGACACAGCTGCCCACACACACCCCTCCCTCCATGTCCCTCTTTACAACTCTACTACCAGGTAAGGGTGGGATGGGTTTCTTGTATTTATCATTCATTGTCTCCTGAAAGAAAAGAAGGTCTCTGAATGGAGATCTGACCATTTTGTACATAGCGCTGAGTACATGGCTAATACCCTATAAATATTAGTGGAATTAAAAGAACTAGTGACTGACAAATATTTCCAATACACTTAGAGTAAAAAGGAAAAAATGAGGGAAAAGATATTTTCACGTTTTTTGATAGTTCACTTTTTGAAAAATCATAAACCCCTGACTAAGCAATTGTCATCCCCCCACCACCACCACCTCATGCTACAGCTCAGTGACTGCTCTTAACTGTGTCATCACATGAGTGATTGGGAGCACTCCCATCTTTCTAGAGCCAGGGCTCCCCCCACACAGCCATCCTTCCTGAAGGAAGAGCTCCCAGAGCTCCTGGCCCTACCCACCTGAGGGAGACATGGAAACAGGGAGGGACACACTCACCTGGGGACCCCCCAGGGGGCAGCTGGAGGAGGAGCAGCAGGAAGGGGAGGAGGCAGAGCACAGAGCTGGGGCAGGAGCAGGCGCCATCTCCTCAGGGCTGGGGAGAGACAGGCAGGAGGCAGCCAGGCCCACACGGAGGAGCAGGGCAGCCAGGAGCTCTGGGCTCAGGGGGGAGCAGGGCCCAGGGACCCCCCCACCAGCAGGAGCAGGGCCCTTCCTGGTGACCCCTTAGGCCCTGAGACCAAGGAGGATAGACCTGGCTCCTCTCAGGGCTTCTAAAAACTTCTGTGGTACTAGAGACCATGAGGCTTATTGGAGGAAAATATCCTCCCTTCCCTTCCCACCCCGTGGAACCCACACCCCAGACGTGCTCTGCTCAGAGCACCAGGCCCCTCCATTCCCAGCACCTGGGCCTGGGGTGCAAACTGCCCTCCCCTCCCCATCATCACACCCAGTGACTCCCCAGGACAGAGGCCCAGACCCAGGCCCCCATGAAGGACAGGCCAGTACCTGCTTGTGTACTGTCCCATCAGTGTGAGACGAGTACCTGAGAAGCCTCAGGACACATGACACTGTCCCCAAGGGGTCAGGGTCCCCCCACAGGTCCCTGTCCTGCTCTGTCTGCTTGTTCAGTTCACCTGAAGGTCAGTCCCTCCCCAGCCCTGACCTGCCAGGGACAAGGACAAGGTCCTGCCAAACACAGCAGGAGATGGGTCAGATCCCCACTGAGGGTTCGTCCTTGTCCTCTCTAACTCTGGGGGGATCCTGCCTTGGGGTGAGGGACCCAGTGGAGAGAGCAGCATGGAAGGGAAAAGGAGTCCTGGTCAGAAAAAATACCTCAAACCACCTACTGGCTGGAGGTTGGGGGAGGCAGAACACATTTTGGGAAGGACAGACACTGCAGACTGACTATGAGGTCACCTCTGGACTCAGCCACTCTCTGTGACTATCTTGTTCAAGATAGTCTTAACTGTCCTGCCTCACTTTCCCCACCAGGAAAATGGGAATAGTATCAGCATCTCCCAACCAAGGTTGCAATGAGTATCACATGAATTATATCTGAAAAGTCACTACCTATAATTCTAGAAAAGGGTCCTGACTCAGGAAGTGTTTCACGTTATTAAAATAAATGAAGCAAGCACAAACTCCAATGAGGAGTCAGCTGCTCCCCACTTTCCTCTCCTAAAAAGAAACATGTCTTCTAAACTGATATACCTGCTTTTAAATGATGGGCTTCTAGGGCGTCTCTTCAAGCTTGAGAAGTTTCAGTGTTTCCAGCAGACCCCAAATCTTCTTACAGAGCTTGCACCTTTTGTTAGCTGCCCAGGAACCATGCTTGGTGCCAAGGGGGCCTCATGGCTCAAAGAAGAAGGTACCCAGGAGAGTAAATGGGCAGAATCTGGCACGCGTTGAAGGGTGTCTGTAGAGAACAGCCCACAGATCCTAGTGAATATTTTCTAGAAAAAACAATCACCCTTCTCTGGCTCTTTCCACCATTTGAAAGTGAAAGCTAAAATGCAACCCCAGCAGACTCCACCCTGCCCTCTGGACAGTGCACCCCAGTTATCAGCAGGGAAACAGCAGGATCAGAGGAGCCAGCAGAGGGGAGGGGCAGGCACCCTGACACCCCTGCAGGCACAGGGGAGGCACCCACTGTTGAGCCCCCACTGCCCTCCAGGCTGCTTGGCTTCCAGACTCAGGACTAGGGGTGAGTGTGGGACCCAGTCAGGACTGACTCTGAGCCCCATGAAGTGTTCTGTGGGTGCCCGATGGTGAACACCCCAGCTGCCCATGGCAGCTGTCACCCCACATTGCAGGGCCTGTGAGGATCACCCAAGAGGTCTGTTTTCTTCTCCTCACAGCAGCTGACCCAGGACCCCCACACCCTGGACACCAGGAGTCAGCACTGGGCACCAGGAGCTGCCAGGACCTGGTCCTGCCCACACTGCATGGATGGGGCCTGCAGCCTATTCAGATGTTAATGTCGCCCGAGACCTGGTCACAGTGACCAGACCTTGTCCCTTCAGGTCACGGGTCACCAGGAAGGCCCACTTCTGTGTCTCTAAGGAAACCAGGAAGCCTGGACCTCCCCTCCCCCTTCACGTTCTGTGGTTTCCCCTTCTCAGTGAAGGGCACCTGTGCCCCCCTGTTATCTCTGCCAGAGACTCCAGGGTCATCTTCACAGTCCACTCCCCACTCAGTCTATTTCCCATGCACCCAAATGTTCAATCCATGTCCATGACCATCACCTATTCTACATCACCTCATTTCTAATTTGGCCCAAGGGTCACCCCACTTCACCTCCAGCATCACTTCCCCTAGACCATTTCCTTCCAAGGTCATGACCCTCTCCAGTCAGCTCATATCACCTTCCTGCCTCATTCAAGGAAAACCGCTTAAAGGAGGGACACCCAGACCTCCCCCTTATTCTCTGAACTCCTCCTCCCATTGCTCTCCCACGGGCCCCTCCTGGCTTAGGTGACTCCCTCCAACAAAGGGAGCTCTCCCAGCCTCAGGCCTCCTCACAGTCCCTGATGCTCTTGCTGCCTCTGCTCCCCAAATCCCTCAACTTTCAGGCCTCACCTGTAGTGACCTTCTCAGAACTACTCCCAACCTACTGATCCCCCTTGTTCACCCACACAGGCTTATTGGGTTTGGGGTTCCTGTTCTCTCCCTTACCCCTGATGTGTATCATCTGGAAACCATGTGGGATCCCAGGAGGAGGCCCTGTGAGTCCTGCTTCGTGTCCAGCAGGGAGGGGCCTCACCAGCCTCAGCTGAGCTCATCTGCGGAGGAGGCTCTACTGCTGTCCATTGGCCACTCAGCCTCATATACTCAGAAAACCCCTCAATCCACAAGATGCCACCTCTGACCTGAGCACCAGCATCCACCATGCTCCCCTGTCTGTTTTTCTATCCCCTGCACTCTCCCCCACATCCACACACATAAATAGGTCACTAATTACAGCATCGCTGAGCTGAAAACATTCAGGCCATCCCCTCAGGCTGCCCAGGCTCAGGGTCACCAGGTAGTACTTCTGGTCTAAGTCACTCTTATGCACTCACTGCCCCTTTGCCACCACCAACTCCTGCCCAATGGGGACTGTCACAGGGGCCTGACACTTGGTTTTCCATGTAGAATCTAAATGACTGGACAGTCATGCATTGGCCATTGTGGGGCCAGGCCCTATGGAAATCTCTATGGGATCTAGGACATTAGAAGCAGGAGAAGCAGCAAGAGAGAGAAGGGGAGAAAGAAAGCCAGAAGAGAGAGAGAAGCCCAGAGTGAAGATTTGCCAGGAGCTTGGAGGCCTGCCACCAGCCTCCTGGCCCCTCAGCACCCTTGCCTGCAGTGTACCTGTTTGCCACAGTACATGTCAAGCTCAATAAAAGCCTGAGAAAGCCAGAGAGGACTCCAAGACTCTCCTTTACCCATCTGCCAGATCTTAGATAACCTGCTCAGTGCTCATCCTGCCCCTACAAGGACACATCTTGAGACCTAAGAGATATTGGGGAATTCTGATAGAGAGACAGAGGGAAGAAAACCAGACTCCAGTGAGCACCTACTAAGTGCCAGGAACTGTGCTACACAGATTGAACTGTGGCTCTTCATTCTCACACCTGCAGAGATGAGAGCAAACCTGAGTCCTGCATCTGTTTAATAACATCCAATCATTAACATTATAGAAGGTGAAGGGGCTATAGCAGCAAAGGGGCTGCTCCCAACCCCACCCCTGCTCTCAAGTCCAGCCTAGCCCACACCTCCACAACTCACTCAGTAGTAAATGTGAGAAGACAGAGGACCTTGGACTTAGAACTTCCCCATGAGGACACACCTAGAAACCTTATCTCCGTCTGAGTGCTGTCTTGGGTCCATTTGAGGGCAGGTGGGAGGAGTGTTGTGTCAGGAATACCGCAGTGATAAATAAAGAAACGGGAGTCATGGAGAAGGCTGTAGGATGCAGGATGCTGCACAAGAGCAAGATCCAGGCCTTTTTATTGACAGAAAAGGGTGGGTCAAACTGAACATAGGATTTTGGGCTTTTGGGAGGGTGAGTATACACCCAACACCCAGCGATGGCTTTAATGGTAGTAACAAGGAGCTCCACTGATCAGTCCCTGGGATGGAAAGCACATTTGTATTGTCGCAGGGCAATCAAGTGTCCTGCTCTTGTCTAACTTGAAAGGAGCCTTGTATGCTACACCCATATGCCCCACTTTATTTTATTAAAGATGAGAAGAGTCTCCCTGATGGTGCAGAGGTTAGAGACAGCACTATAAAGCTATTGTCAGCCACTACAGCAGGACTTCAATACCAGGCGGCCAGGGAGCAACCCACATGATGCAGCAGACCTCTCCTGTCTTGCCCACTGCTCCACTCAGCAGTGTTTCTGTGAATCTGCCTGTTCTGCTCCCCACTCTCTCTGGTGAGTCCTCTCACCCCCTGCACTGCTGGCCTGTATACCAGTTCTTGTACTCATAAATAAATAAATCTTTAAAAATAAATAAAGATGGGAGAAGGGGAGATAGGGGGAATTCTGTGTAGACAATACCCTAGGCAAAGGACTAAAAAGCCAAAGTCCATCAAGGATTTCTCTAGTGGTATGTTTTTAAACTGGTCCAGCTGAATTACAGATGAAATTGCAGGTCATTGACAGAGGAAGCCAATAGAAAACTGAAAGCTTATAACAAATCTTTTTTATGGGAGGCTCATGAATGTCCCAAATGACAATCCTCCATTATTTATTTTGAGCATTTTTATTTTATATATTTTACATCATTTTTCATTTTTGCACAATGTATGCATTTTCATATTGGTTATAGTCCCCATACAATTCCCACCCCCCTTGTTTTGATCCTACTCCCTCCTCACACCTCCCCAGTAGTGTGTCTCTGGTTTAGAGTTGCTTGTTGATTTTGATTTTTACTTTATTATAATTAGTCTTTTTCCTGGTCCCTTATTTAGGTTTTCTAAATTCCTGATGTAAGTGAGACCATCCGGTGTTTTTCTTTTTCTTTCTGGCTTATTTAGCTGAGCATGATTCCTTCCAGCTCC